TGATGGGACCCCGCGCTGGGACCCTGGGGAGCGGCCCAGCGGGGGGCCGGAAGTGAGCTTGTACCGGTCTGGGTCGGGGACCTTAACAGGGGGCATCTTTTGGGGGATGTCATACGTTTTTATGAGGTTCTCAAAGGGTCCAAAGGCCCAACGAAGGGGATGCCCCAATGTCTGGTTAGCCCTTGGGGGGGCAGCTCTGCCAGCGGGCGTCTTTCTTCTCTGGGGTTAACCTCAGACTGAAACCAGACAAGAATGGGTCCGGGCTGCCTGTCACTACCTGGACCCATTAAGCAGAGACGGCTGACTCGTAGAGGAGCGTTTATTCCAATATTGCTGGCAGTGTGGAGAGCAGGGGTCACCCACGGAAATCTGCTCTGTGCCTCCCTGTAGGCCAGCTGCTTATATTGGGCTGGACAGAGGTGACATGGGGAAGCTGGACGTGGAATCTCAGGCCTGGGGAAGTAGACATAATGGTAAGGTTACAGGCAATGCAGGCCGGGTGGGGTCCAGAAGGGCAGGTGCCTCAGGGACGCCATTGTCTTGGCAACAAGGTTGTTAACCTTTCCTTGATGAAGGGGGATTCCAAGGGCAAGGGAAATGTCCCCTGGTACAACCCTCAGGTTAGAACGGCTTTCTCTGTTTAGAACAATCATGGTTAACAGCAGGGTTAATATTTCTGCCCCAACAAGGCCAGGTGAGTGGAGCCCTGATGTCAGACTGGCTTCCTGGAGAGGGTCTGGCCTGGGAGAGCAGTGAGGAGGCTCAGGTGGTCCCTCCATGCAGGGGGGTCAGAATGGGCAGCTCTGGCCTCTCCCTCTCCGGTGTGGGCGTGAGGGAGGATTCTGAGTCAGGATTTGGGTGACCACACCCTGGGCTCCCAGGGTGGGTGGGTTCCGTCTTGCTCACGTGCTCTGGGCAGTGGGCTGGCAGACTCTTGGCTCCTCTGTGTGACAGTTGGGTGACACGGCCAGTCAGCCGCCCTCGACCCAGTTTCACCAGGCCTGTGTTTGTGGACCTGCAAACGGGACTTGCCTGCTGGCTGTCACTGGGCTGGAGTGGGACTGGAGCCTTTGCCGGCCCTGCCTCCCTGCCTGGGCTCCCATCCTGCCTGGGATGGGAGGGGCAGCCCTGCTTCTCTAACACCAGGCAGTGCCAGGCTTGGATGCAAACACCAGTGGGGGCAGACTTCTCGGCAATTCTGGGGTTTTGAGAAGGAACCTGTTCTCAGGAAGCCTGGGTTTCAGAACCAGGACCTCACATGGGGCTGAGTCATCCTATTTGGCAGGGTCATTCTAAAGGGCAGCTCAAATCGCATCATTTCCAGGGCTTTCCGTTGCTCTTGAATGAACCCAGATCCCTGCCCCACCCCCAGGCACTGCCCCCTGCCCATCTCAACAGTGAGGCTGGCCCCACCTTCAGGGCCTCCGGTTTCCTGATTCAGGCTGCGGCTGGGCCCTGGTGAGGTTTGAGGGCCTGTGGTCTGCTCCCATCCCAGACCTGCTGCCAGAGGCCTCGCTTTCTCCCTACCTGCCAGATGTGATGACCCGGCTTTATGGTCTGACCCAGGGTGGGCCAGAGGATGTGCCCTGGCCTGTCCAGAGTCCCCAGCCCCCAGAAAGGGATCACAGAAGCTGGGCTTGGGGTCCACACTCCACCTGCTATGTCCTTCCCTGGGCACCCATTGCTGATGTCCCTTGGGAAATGCTACCTGACTGCAGGCACCTGTTCCTCCCACTCAGCTGCTTCAGGGCCATGAGGCATCTTGGGGAGGGGGTGTCTGGCTTTGTGGATGTTCTCGGAGGAGCGAGGCAGGCAGGCAGACAGGGTTTTCAGAGCCCCACGGCTAGGGTCTCCATGCTGTGTCCAGGCCCACAGGCTACCCCTTCCCAACCCACCCTTGTCCAGGCAAATGAGAGACCAGGGCTTCAGGTGGCAAGCGAAGGTCCCCACCCTCTCCAAGGCAGGAGGTGCCCACAAAGGCAGGTACAGGAGCTGGGAGGTGAGTGCAGCCTCTGTGGGCTGAGGGGGCCTTTGCCAGGTGAGCCAGTGGGTGCAGCCTCCTTCTGCCCTCCCCCATTTTTACTCCTGGAGGCTGAGGTGGGTACAGGTGCTGAAGAAAGGAAATAGTACTGGCCAAGGGAGAGGCCGTGGTGTCTCCTGCTGGCTCTCTGGCCTCTGAAACAATGAGGGAATTTGGCTAAAATATGCTCCCTCTCCCTGTCTTCCGCCTAGAAAACACTCGCCTCTCACCATGAGTCTAGACCTCCACTACGAGCAGCTGAGCGACACCCGGTGGGCAGAACTCCTGCCTCAGATGCAGCAGTACCAGGTGGTCAGGTACTTGCCAGGGTCCCCGCGCGGGGTGGGTGGGGTGTGGGGGGTGGTG